GTGCGATTCCGAGTTCGATACTGGATCGGGACAAAAATAGATCCAATAAATATAATTCAGTTTCTGTAGCTGTGTGACAAAGAAAAGTTCAGAGAGGTGAAGTTTGCTGTATTCGCTAATAACAATAAGTAATGAGCTTCACGTCTCTCTGTCTACGAGCCAAGCGTGTAAATTAAACTAGTGTAAACGAACATGTTAGCTAACCGGCAAAATCAGAAAAAAGACCGAAATGCCAAATGTGAACAGAATAATATCGTTTACAATAAAATACATTATAATTGATATAATTAAGCCATTAACTAAATAATACTTAAACAAGGGGGCGACCCGGGAAGACTAATGTCAGACCTCTCCCCATTCACCTTTAAGAAGATGAGATCAAACCTCCCTCTGTTCATGCGGAATTCGTGGAGGACAAAAACGGGTTCGCTTCAAGGTTTCCCGAGGTTCATTTGTTTTCCATACCTTGCATTCGCCGCTCTCGACGTCGCCGCCCACGACGTCGCCGCCCTCGACGTCGCCGCCCTCGACGTCGCCGCCCTCGACGTCGCCGCCCTCGACGTCGACGCCCACGACGTCGACGCCCTCGACGTCGACGCCCTCGACGTCGACGCCCTCGCCCTCGACGCCCTCGACGTCGACGCCCTCGACGTCGACGCCCTCGACGTCGACGCCTTCGACGTCGTCGCTCTTGCTACAGCTCTTGCCGCCGCTCTTGCCGCTGCTCTTGCCGCTGCTCTTGCCGCCGTTGGCATCGCCGTCCGCGTTGCCGAGGTTGGGAGGCCAATTAACTAACCATTCTCACGTGCACACGCATAGCCAACTGATGCAATGGCCAACTCCACGAGCCGCTACTATCTTATTTCCGCAGTCACGGACGCTAGAGATAACTGCGTTTCACGACGAATAGTATACATTGTGCTTTAAAGATAGGATATGATCGATAAAAAAGACCCAAAAATTACGTCTCGAGTTTTTATTTCTCTCTATTTCTCGAGTTTTAAGAATTCGACTTCTTCCTCCCTATGGGCTGCATTATCTTACTGACAGACTAGTCCCTACGCTTAAGGCCAAGAAAAATGGTCTATGAAATAGGTCTTAGGGCCAAGAAATTGGAGGAGCAAAATTATCTTAGAATTTGTATCAGTATGAGAAAAATGCGTAATGTTTTCATAATAAAATGAATAAAAATTAGTATTTCAAAAAACTTTAATATAAATGAAGTGAATAAATTTTACATTAATTTTTGTATTAAAATATTTTTTGGTAATTGTATGCAATAATCTACAAACTGAGGGTTTTTTTGACATTTGGATTCAAATATTTGTTTTCATGTTGACAAAAATTGAAGAGATCAGTGTTAATTATGAAATTACCATTGAGAATCGACCTTTTCCCCTAATTATTTTTATAATGAAATGAAATCTATGAGTTAAACATTAAATGAGAGATCTGTAAAACAATAAAAATCGAAAAAAAAAATTTCTAAAATGAAGCAAGCATAATAAAAATTATCAAGAATAAATCAAGTTAATGAACCAAATGCAGCTCGTCGCCTTCGCCCTTTCCGTCCCCCTCATCGTCTCCGTCGCCGTCTTCGCACCGTCACCTTCATCGTTGTGCATCATAATGTTTCCTGTGTACATCTCATTACTTTCGCATCCGTCTCGCGATACAAAAAGCGCTCTCGAGGTACGAACGCGTAACGCGTAAAACGGCTGCGAACCCATATCTTCACGACTCTCCGATTCAAGTCATAAGATAAACACACACGAACACAAACACTTTTGTGATATCGGCATACCTATATCGCTATATCGAAAACCTCAAGGCATGAAGAGGAGATAGTGGAGTTTGATAGTGTGAGTTAGGTGGCGCAAATATGGAAATAGTGACAAGGATGAGTGAAAACGTTAGTGTGTATTAAACTGTCGTAATTCATTTTCGAATTATTTTTAATGTCTCGTGTGTAATCATACTGGATCTTGGACAATAAATTGGATGCATTTTAAGAAACGAATGTATTAATCAATTTAAATTTTAGATAGTTCGAATATTGCGTAATTATCTCGTTCCAGTGAGGTGCGGGACTATGATTGCAAAGTTCGAGTGATACGGACACCGTTTCGTCCTACGGGAGCGACATCGGCTGTCAGAAGGGAATGGAAGGGGAGAGAACCTTGGGGAAACCAGGGGTAGACTTCCCTGGGGAAATATGTGTGGAGAGGAGTTGCCCCGATCTTCCCTCACGCATACATAAATAAATACACGCATTCTGTCAGCAATCCCGTGTGTCAGAATCTAATTCCAATTTATGCTACATAAAATGATTCAAGAGCCACTTTCTGCTCACCAAACCCACTTCTCCGGCTAACAACTTGGCTCCATTGCTAAGGGTATTACACACAAGCTTTCAAAATTCGAGATCGCGCATTTATGTCGCTATTTTTAGCATGTAGTGCCTGCATGTTACAATCCTGTACGACTCGTCTGACATATTGCCCAGAATTACTCGTCAATGTTGAATTAAGGAAATGTTCACGTCATTCCGTGCCGCAGTGAGTGATAAATCCCCTCCTATTTACCTAGCACAACCCTGGCCCTCCGACTGCAGAGAGAACGTTGGGTTTGAACCTGGTTGAGCTCCAGCGCAGGTACAAACTTGAAAATCTCGTTTAGCGGTGTTTGCTTGGACAAACAAGTCCGCTCGCCCGCTCGCCAGCTCGCCCACCCGCTCCCCCGACCAATCACCATCCGCCCGCCTG